CATCCTCTACTACTTTTATCTGTATGGATGAATACTTGATGAGTGTTTCCCATCAATTATCTGTTCTTCAAGGTATAAACAAAATGTAATTTTTTATACTATAGTATAGCTATGACTGTCCCATTGCCGCTTGAATTTGATAACATTTCTAGCTATATCATTCACTTTAATTCTTCTAGTAGCATCATCATTTCGAATTTCATCATACAGTGAGATTCTAAACATTGCTGTTTCCATAATTTTCGAGGCAAGTTGGAGCTTCATTACATTTTACCGACCATGTTTGAAACCAACAGGGGTGAACTTTCGCCTTTTGATGAGACTATTACAAAGGTTTGAAGGGTGAGATGAGGCAGTAAAAGTACAAAGACAGACCATATCATAGAATAAGATATACTTTGTGTTGGCTCTAATTTATGAAGGCGAAGCCGCGCGACAGCGTTGGTACTAAATAAAATATCTATTTATTTATTTATTACTATTAATTTATATTAATTAAAGTGGGTACATCTAATAACAAATTGTTAACTGACCGTGTTAGCTTATTGCTATTTATATACTAACTAGTATTTATCCGTAAAATTACTACTATCGCTGCAAATTTCCTTTAATATAAATAAATAATTTATTTAATTATTTTCTTTATTCTATAATGAATTTACATTACATATACTTCAAATGTGTGAACAGTGAGGTATCATCGAGTCCACGCTCTCATGATTAAAGCAGCACTCAAAAAGAGGGTCCACTCCATCTTGAGCAAACGACAGACAGCCCCTTGAACCTCTTCACGATACCTTAATGGAGACTTCGCGCGATTGCCACAACGTGCTATAAAGATTTTTCTTTTTCATAAAGTACTCTAAAACTATTTTATATACTTTTGAGACTACAGAATCATGGCTAAACAGCTAAATAAATGTGATAATATTACTTGCTCTTATTATAGAAAGATGAAATAGGAAAATAAAAAAATGAGACCTGAATTTTTCACGGACATTATATATATATATATATATATATATATATATATATATATATATATATATATATATATATATATATATATATATATATATATATATATATATATACGTTCATTTTTATCGATGTTCATATGTATATATGTATATATAAAGGAAAACATAGTAAACAAAACTAAGTAAACATAAAAACATAGTAAATACATAAAATTCCTGTTATGAATAAATATAGACAACATAAATCCTTACTAATATTATAAATGTGAAAATGGGTTTGTTTGTTTATTGCCTTATAGCACCTTAACCAATCACTATGAAATTTTGTATACACGTACTATATGAGTTGGAAAATTATATAGGTTTTTTATCCTAGTCAGGAAACGTATCCCAGTTACGCGGATGAAGTCGCGGGTAAAAGTTAACAGATAATATAATGAAATGATAGATAATTAATGTTGATAGATAATTAAAATATTTTTATTTTTAAGCATTGATTACTAAAAAAAGTTGTCCATTCGTCTCTATTATAGTTTTGTGACTATGTTACGCAATTACGTCTTCAATTCTGACCGATTTTAATAATTCTTTTTGTAGTTGATATATAAATATAGATATTATAGATAGATACATTTAAGATGCCGGTTTTTGTATACTAAAAAACTATTGGTTTCAAAACAAAACCAATTTATAAACACGATTCCGCCTTCTAAATTCAATCGTTTTCAATTTAATTTGTCCACTTAACATTCCATCGCGTATCAGTGTGTTTTGTTACGATTGAAATCGCTATTTTTTGAAAAGCAAAATGTACTTATAATTGTCTTTAACGTCAATGAGATGTTAGAAAAATGGAAGTAACCCATAGACGACGTAAATGTCGTAAGAACAATATATCTCTTTTATCGTTGGTGGCGGCTTGACAGATTTGAGTTTGGTAGATATCAAGTAATATTGGTTTCATGAAGCACTCTACGCCCCCGGCTAAATTCATCGTATAGCTCAGACAGAATCGTGTACCAAAAATATTGCATGAACATACACAGAAAATACAGATAACCTAATCACGTAATTCAATAGTCATCGGTAACGATAATTGTTTTCGATTTTTAAATTTTGTACCTACCTACACAACGCCACGTACCTATACTTAAAGATATTTTCAGCTAGCTTTTTAATAGAGAGGTTCTTAATTCAAATTGTTATTTTTGCGGTTTCTATAATAAAAAAAGTAAAATGATGATTCGTAAATTTAATTAATAACGCAATAATTCGTTAATTTAATAACGTTGTATTTCAGCAACTACTCATGATAAATAGATATGAAGTTAATTATAATTCTTGGATATTAACTTATTAGAAAAGACAAAATAATAATATTTTTACTATTTACTAGCCCGGCTTCGCATGGGTAGACAGAATTTTCAAAAATAATTTTAGCTTATGTTATTCGCTGATATTGTAACCTGTAAGTGAAAGAATTTTAAAATATCGCTTGAATTGTGTATAACTTTATCCATTATAAACAAACAAATCTTTTCTCCCTATAACATTAGTTTAGAAGTACAGATATAATTAGTTCTTTTTTCGAAAATATAAAGTACAAAATTAAGTCCAATTTCACATGTAACTTGTACCTCCGTGAATGCAAACATTTGTAATAAATATGAAAAACTTTATTGGCGGCGATATTGCAAATAATGCAGTCGAGTTGAAAATATCCTTCTTTTAAATTTTGTTAAAAAAAGTCCTAATGGATAGACTGATTATTTTAAAATTTAAGAAACATTTATAAACTTTTATAATATGGAACTTTATATTATATAGATAGAGCATCGAGTCTTAAAAAGGGTCAACTTTTTGCCAGTAATTGTCAAATTACCTGACTCGTTTTTTTTTTTATTTTCTATATACTTACGTACACAATATCTTATATCGTATCTTGACGTATTTATGTTTAATTATTTAATAAAATAAATGACTTTTTGCGCATTAAAAATGTACAGAATTTATAAAACAAAATTAATATAGAAGTTGTAATAATCACTAATTATCACGCAAAATTGTACGAAAAAGTTGACCCGCGTTTCTCGAAGCATTTGTATGAAGACACTATATCTATATAATCTAAGTATGAAACCTATGAAATATATATATAAAATAATTTTATACATATTATATTTGCCAAATGCCTATTTGTCAATATGGCGCACCCAAAGAAAAAAACAAAGGCACTTATTCTTTCTATTGGAATTCCTAAGAAAACATTGTCTATACAGTAACTTAGATATCATGTTGATACAGCAACCGCTGAAGTTCTGTTATATAGATACAAAGTCACGCTTGTTTGCGAATGTCGCGGAAATTTAATCAAAGGAAGAAATAGGCGAAATAGGAAAACGTACAATGATTTGATGACGCAGAAAAAGACAAATTGAATTCAGTCATATTATCATATCAATCCATCAAACCGGTATATCTAATATAGACATACATTTTACCCCAAAACATTTATCATATATGTATTTGAAAATAAAATATAAACTTGAGAGACGAAAGAGATATCTTCCAACGATGAATATATCGGTAGATCGAAAATCATCTGAAATTGCCATTTTTTAGAGATCCGTATCTCCAAAGGAAAAATCGGAACCCTTATAGTCAAGACACTTTTTCTTGCTAACGCGTGGAGGTATCGAGATGAAATTAATATCATATACTCAATTCTGCAATCTCTTAAAGCAGTAAGAAATCAAGCTTTTAAATTGACGCAATCAAAAGATACGGCCGTCTATGTTCCATTTATATCACATATTTTAACATTCGCAAAAGGAATCAAAACCTACAGAATACTTCCCGTGGACCTGAAATCATGAAAGTTGGCAAAAATCATTGTCATGTAGCACAAGGAAAGGAAAAACCGAAAACTGCAAATTTGTAATCATTTAACAAAAAAAAAACAAAGTTTTAATTCGATGATTTTGTACGGGACCCTCGTTGCCGGAGTTCGACTCGCACATGACCGGTTTTTTTTTTGTGGAATCACATTTTATAGCTTAGTAAAAAACCATAAATGATACTTATTTTTGTTACTGTATTAATCAATAGGTGCAAGTCAAATATCCCACTATTGGGCATGCAGCCATATTTTTCATAGATAATACAAATATATATTTAGAGATTCATTTCATGTTTTTTTTCTCTTACATTGGCGCATTATGCATTATTTCTTAATTCGTCTCTTACAACGTCCTGAAAATAACACATAGCACTTCGCCGTCATCACTTATCACTCCATCACAATATGAATATAATTTTTTATATTTCTTTCATTCTCCTAGAATAATATTAAAAAAGAATTGAAACATATCAATCATCATTTTTTATATAAAAAACATTGCACGTGGAGGGGAAGCTTCACATAAGCAGAACTATTATCATAACAATCCGTTCTTTCAAATCGAACGACAAACGTGCATTGAGATATCGTATCTAATTATAAATATATATCATAAAATATCAAAATAAAAAATTTATGTTGTTTTTTTGCTTGAAAGGGTAACAAATATTCATCTAATTTCACAAATTTTCACGTTTGTTAATATGCAGTATTGATGTAGATTGGTTTTTATGATCACGCCATGTACGTTAATATACTATAAGATATATATATGCGTACATATATTTCCTTAAGTCAGTTAAAATTCAGGAGAATTTTAATATAACATAAACATAACCGCTTAACACACGGTTTCTTGACAACGGATCACGCGTTGCGCCAATATTGCCTTATACATACTTAGGATTGAACTAGACATTTAGTTTCACATTATAACAATATTTATATCTAAACAAATATTATATAAAATATTATTTTATTCTTTGCTATTTACAACAGTTAGCGCTTTTAATGAACAAAAATGGCATAAATGTCAGACCGGTTACGCAGCGGCGCGAAACCATGATTTCTGAAATAAGAGGACACAATTTCTTTTTAATGTTTACATTTTAAATATTTACCTAGCTTTGTGTGCACGTCGCGAACGCGAGGAAAGGTCTAGCTCGCTAGCGGCGGTGCAAGTGCCAGCCTGCAGCGAGCCACGGGACCCACCCAGCCGCCGGGAGCCCAGCCGGCACGTCATCATTTCTGAAACAATCGTATTAATATTTCAATATGAAAATCATATACCAATAATTATTAAGAGATTGAAAAATGTAAAAAGCGGGCGCTAATTAAACTCTCACATCCTACTCTAATCAAATTGCAATTATGTAGAAAATTTCCTAGTGTCAAAATTCCAAATTCAGTTACAAAATTAAAATGGTTATGTTTATTCAACTACTAAGGGCATACTAATGACTCACATGATGGAAACTTATAACATCACAGATACTTAAAACATACATTGTTATACCTATAACACCTATCCTCTATACATTGTCATTCCTGAAGATTATACGTCCGTATCCTGTAGTAGTTACATTTTTATGCTACTTAAAATAGCAAATAAGCTGAGGGCCCACCTGATGGAAAGTGGCAATCGACGCCTATAGAAATGAACAATACCACGGACACACATGAATGACAGATGGCGAAACAGGGGACAATTAATTGAAGTTATTAGCAGTGTTATTATCAACAGAGAGATAAATAGTCGGTGAATTTTATTGGCACATAATGTTTTTGGTATTAGTTTGTATTAGAATTTACAACCTATTGACGTAATAAATTACTAAGCCATAGCCTAGGTCTTAGTAAACTAATCAATTTATAGTCTGTTTTACAGATATCAAAGGTAAGAATAACAATAGTACAATAGCAATACAAATAGTGTTTTACCTATCTTTTAAATAAATCTTATACATATTGACAGCTGTCCAGTATTAAAGGGTTTATACACGCGATTAAAAACGTTCAATATTTCACGGTAACTAAAGGCCTTTTAAGCCCGACTCCAACTGAGCTGTCGCCGCTTTTATTTATTAAAGCGGCACATCTTAGTTGAAGAACCCTTGAATGCGGACCGAGAATCTCAAAATCAAATCCCAGTCCAATCATCGTGTTTGGATTATTAAAAATGATTGACGCCCCGTACTTCAGAGGGCGCTTAAAGGGCACTTTTACAATTTATTATCCCGTGGTATGATATATTGCCGGCCGTATGGTCCCGTCATAGAATAGGCCACCCTTTTCTTTCCGTGGGTGTCATTAGAGGCGACTAAGGGAGGGCGAGGTATGAACAACAGTCTCTCTTAAAACATCTCTAAAGCCTAACTGCGGTTGCCAATTCGCCTGCCATGCGTGGCAACTACGGGCAAAACCCCTTTAAAAGGGAGGCTTATGTTCAACAGTAGACTGTTAAAAGCTGATATAATGATGATGATGATATAGTATGATTTTGCCGTCACCACATACTCATAATTAGGTTTGAGTAACTCTTTTTTACAATTGATGAGTCTCGCGATTATTTCTGATCTAACGTGATGGAAAATAATGATGTCATCTAAAATAAGCCCAATTTATAAATCTATTTACATTTGCCTTTAATTGGTCTAGATTGTATATTATTGGAAATATATAAGCAAGGAAAACATGATGAAGAAAGAACATAAAGCGTTTTGTACATACAAATAGTGTTTCTACGACAAACGAGTGAAGACTTTCTTCTCGTTTAGTCCCCCGATCCCGAAATGATGATGGAGGAACTAGATCATGAATTTCTTTACAAAATATACTCTACAAAATGTATCCTATAAAACACAAAGAATCGCGCAATTCTATTGCGGTGTCTAGAACATTTTGAAATTTGAAATGCAGCAACAAATCCTCTTCTATGAGCTTCTTAACTCTGCGTTAAACAAAATCAAAGGAAACCAGCTGGTACTTAGCAGATTTGGCCTAAAGGTACTCCATTAATATTCGAACAAGTGCTTTAGATATATGTATATATTGCACTTATAATAACTATATATTGACCCAATACCGAATATATTAAATATCAATTATCCGGTATATAATATTAGAAATAAAGAATTAGTCTAAAAATTTAAAAAGTTCTGACTTCATATTTATTTTAGTATGTCATAATTTCCATTCAACTTAGTACAATGGTAATTTATTTCAAATTGAGTAATAAATAGATGCTTTATTATAATAATTAATCAACTGTGTAGGATATATTCTTCAATGAAAGCTGCTCAAAGGGCCAATCACTATACAAAAGAGAAACAATAAAGACAATAAAAGCGAACCATCTTGGTGAACCGAACAGAATGAATAAAAGCACAAATCGAATGAGCTCATTGTTACGACGCTATTCTTTTTATAAACCGCGGTCCACAATTTTGTTCATTTTAGCACCCAACCGCTAGAAGTTCCGGTCCAAATTACGATTCGAAAAGAAACTCCGCGGTACTCCGCTGAAAAGTTACCTAACGAAGTCAAAATAAATATAAAGCACTAGGACGCTATAGATCTGAGAATGTCCCCCGGGTAAATACTGGTGTTGACTAATAATCGCAATCGTTACATTGCAAGTTAATCAATAGTGTTTACCCAGAATAATCTATTGTGTGGCCTCTCGATAGCGCTGACATGAATATCTACACAGTATAACCTACTGTACTATTGTAGTTCAATAACAGACGCAACATTCATATTAAACATAGTATCGATAACAAATTCAAAAACAATATTGTCGATTAAATTATAAATAATAATAATAAATAGTATTATTCTCGTAGATACTATGATTTGTATAAAAGTCGATTGCTTGGGTACCTCTGTCCCATTCGTGTTTCAACCGTGAAGCAGTTGTGTTTGCATAACTGTGTTTCGGTTTGAAGGGTGGGATATGGCGTGAATTTACTGGGTACATAGGAATAACACCTGAGTCCTCAGGAATAGCAACGCATGGGGGGTATCATGGGCGAAACAGTATACTCTGTTATGTCTATGGTACTGCTCATGTCTATAGGCGACGGTTACCACTTTCCATCAGGTGGGCCGTCAGCTTGTTTGCGATTCTAACTTGTATAAAAAAAAAAGATTACATCGATAAATCGAAAGTATCTCAATATAGATGACTGATTGTTTATAATCAATTGTTAGATTATTGGTACCTCTAATCATCTACAGATTAAAAATCGATACCCAACAATTAATATTCAACACATGAAAATACAAGTGACGTTAATTGAATAAATCTAATTTCTATTGAACCACACTATAAAAATAGTAAATTTCTGGAAATATCTGTAGTATGACGTCACACACAAGCCAGTTGTAGTATGTAAATAGGAACGTATGTGGATTGTTTCAGTCGCAGGCAGTGGTTTTGGTAAATTTTAATGACATGTTGCGACGCAGTGCGGAAGCCTGGGACTTGTTACTATACCGTCTGCTTATCATACGTTATGACTGTTTATTTGCATAAACAGCCATCTACATGATACATTTACTTTTTTAATACTTCAAAAGATTGCTACACGTGTATCGCTACAGTATGTGTTTTTATTTTAAAGGACTTTATCCACGACAGAATAAATATAAGATTAAAAATACAGTGTATTACGTGGTGATAGTAAACATTATCGATTGCGAAAATATTTATCGTAATCGGTTCAGAATTAGAAAAACAATCTCAAAATACGTACATAAAAAAAAATACAATCAAACTTTTTGAAAAATCCTGTTTCTGTCATTCGAACTCTCCATCCTGTTTCAAGGTGTATTACATTGTCAGAATTATCTACTACAGTTTACTGTAAAAATTATCTTCAGAGTCTATTATTTATTATTTGTACACTTAAAACAGCAGTATTTCGGAACCGATACGATATCATAACCTTCAAGGAAAAAGCATAGAGCATATTTCTTTTTAAAAAACTAGCAGCACACCTGCAATGCCTCTGGTGCTCATGAGCGGTAGTCACATACTATCAGGTGAGTTGCATGCTCGTTGTTTACACATATTTTTAAATACAGCTTTTTCATCGCGTTAAGTCCTGATTGTGTATTTAAAAACACATTAAATGCATTAAAATCACTATTTATAAAAGAAAAAGCAAGCTATCAGGATATAGTATAGACAACCAATACCATTAAGTATGTTCATTTAAATCTATTAATATACCACTATTACTTTCTTCCCACTTTACATAATAGAACCATTAAAAGATAATAATATTCAACATAGCCGGAGTTCTGAAGTTATTCAGTTAGTTTTGAACAGAGACCGGTGTCAGGCCGCAAGCGAAAGTTTCCGACCGAAATGTGCTTGTTTTTTGTTGAAAATACCCTCCGTGACAACATACAGTCCACTGAGCAGAAATGTTAAGTATTCGTCTTGTTATAACTTCAACTATGAAAATTTATGATGCACATGCAATGCATTTTCCTTCATTAAAGCTTGACTTAGTATTTTTTTAAGATGACAAAATGAAATCGAACTTTTTTTTATGACTTACGAAATGTGTTTGGTCTTTATTAACATGAGAAAACGTTCTTTTCTTACGTTTTATCACTTTATTGGCTCGAGTATAGTAAGGAGGTATAATAACAAGGACATAGATTACTATTTTATCTGAGTCTATCTACATCCCAATCAAGCGAAGATAGTTGCGGGCATATCTAGTCCCGTGTAGAAATGATTTACATTAATCACAATTTTTTTTATTAAAAAAAAATTAGGTAACTTTTTTTTGCATTAATTAGGTTCGGAGTTAGACTATCCATCGAACCAATCTAGTATAATTTTGTGCAAATTAAAATACTTACTATTGCATCGTACGGTACATTGGTAATACCAGATAGCTGATCTAATTTCTGACCATAATAGCCATAATTATGTCAATAATTTAATAGTACTATTTAACAAAATTGTCTTAATAATTTAAACAAATAGTCAATAAATTTCATACCCAAAATTGATTAAACAAAACAAACAATATAATAATTTTTATTACAATAAAGAATTTTTCTAGATGAACCTAAAGATAAAAGAAAACGTGCATCGAACAGAACTTTCATCCGGTTGAATAACCAACGTTTTGGCCTTCTTTTGTGCCGCAAGATAATACCAAGTAGGTAGGTACGGACCGCCCTGTGATTACTTGATATTCACATGCTCCAGCGATAATACGTCT